ACAATTTTAATGCTTCCAGCACCACGATCTTACGTAAATGAGAAGAAAAAAGGTACCGCATTGATCCGAATGAAACGAGAGAGGGAGAGGATGCATTTTTTTTTTTTTTTTCACTCGTAAAAACTGTAAATTATCACGAGATTACAGTTATACGGAAAATCAAGTATGTAATATATTATGTACCGGAGAGTCGGGCACTCGTATAAAAATTCATATATATTTATTGCGCATATATACTTGCAGGCGACAGAAAAACAACATTATCATCGACTCCTCGTGTATACTTGTGGTGTATAGTTGAGCATCAGCTGTCGCAATAATAACAGTAAAAAAGAAAAAAAATTTTTCACGATCAAGAATCGATTACAAATTGATCAGATGCCATTTGCGGGAGAAAAATCATACTCTAGTATAGTAAAAGATTTTATTTAAGCTTTTAGAGTGAGGGGAGCTTAGGTGATAGATAATGATNAAAAAAAAAAAAAAAAAAAAAAAAAAAAAAAAAAAGGTACAACTCGCGTGTCCTAATTAACCCTGCACTTGATCTCTTCCTCGAACGCGTTACGAGCACACGTACTTGTATGATCCTTAATAACGCGCGACACCTCGACACAGCCGGTGTATTATGTGTAAGTAAGTGTAGACACGCCTCGTTATTTCCCACGGCAATTATATACCTATACGATCCGGTGTGCGCCGCATACTTGTCATCTTCCCTCCTCGTCCTCCTCCTCTTCTGTAGCGTACAGCTCCGAGAGATTTTCCTGCAGCAGCTGATAATATGTATATATATATATATATATATCATCCTCGTCGTCGTGTCGTTCCTGCAACGGAATAAGAGGAGGGCGAGATACAGAAGGCACGTACATAATTTATATATATATACGGCCTTTTCTCTTATCCAAGTGCTCTTGCTCCCGTTCGTATACACAAATATGTATATCTTATGTATGTATACCTGCAGCGAGCTTTCTCACGCTCGAGTGTGCATGTACTTATATATGTTATACGCGTATCTACACGTAATGCAACATTTGTGCGTATATTTATGTCGCATGTATACACACCCAGCCGTGGATAAGCTCACCCGAGGAATTTACGTTTTTTTCTTTCCCCCCCTTGACTGGCGTATCCTCGATGATATCGAGATATCCCTTTGGACACAGCCTTTAGCGCTGCATTGTTTTTTTTTTTCCTCTTCGCCGTTGCGATCAGTGAAGTCTAACGAAAGCGGAACTTGTGTATAAAAGTCATTCGGGAGGTATGGGGTGCCCCCTAACTTTGCTTTTATATTTGATCGAGACATACGACAGCGAATAACCTTTCCCTCGTCTCGAAAACGATCGGGTCTGTCAATCGTGCACAGGGAGCCCATCGAACCCCCCCTCCCCCCCAATGAAAATAAGATTGATACCTTCACCCTGTAACGCGATACATATATAGGTATATCATGCGAAGAAGAAGGAAAAAAAAAAAGGATTTGACGCGGAAGGAACTGAAACAATGGGCGAAAAACATCTTCATTCGCGAAGCGCGTGTGTTTTTTTAATTCGTGCCCCGACGCTCGCAGGTACTTATTTTGCTCGCCCGCAACAAGTCTCTCTTTTTTTTTTTTTTTTTTTTTTTAAATAAATATATAATGTAATATACACACGCGGTGCACGTGCCCGAGTGTGGGTATACATATATACTGCAGCGAACCGTTTGCTGCCTGTCCTGGTCTAGAAACCTCTTTTGTGTGTGTATATAATACAGCTCATTGTACGCTGTACATACATTACGTACTTGGCTCGTTACACGTATTATACCTACACACGTATAATGTATGTACATATAGACTTGGGTGTATAAGGTTACAATCAAACGTGGGCGCGTTGAAAAGTGAAGCGAAGAGCCTTGCCTCGGTGCTTTTTCGGTCCCAAGTCCCGCGAGAGAGTCGTATACATTTAGGCCCTGTATGTATATATATATATGTGTGTGTATATGTATAGCTGCGGAGAAAGAGGTTCGAGTCACGCCGACGCGGAAGTGGGTCGAAAAATAATGAGAGTGAGAAGTAACCGAGGGAGAGAGAGAGAGAAATGAGTCAGCGGACACACTGTGCTGACGGAGCTCCTCCACCGAACGAAACGACCCGAGCTCTCTTGATTGCCGATTTTCCCGATAGGCTTTGGATTTACGAAACTCCGCCTCGTTTGTTAATCGACCCAAGAAACCTTTGAACTTTCATTTTGGGATTTGTCGGGCGAAAATTCGAGCAAAACTAGAGTTATACGATTGAAAAAACATCCACAAGAGTGCTCCCATTGTTCCGAGGTAATATCTGGGTTGCGAGTGAAAAGAAGGAAACCGGCAACGCGACATGCCGATCATAGAGCAGAACTCGATGCTTCGTGTATACCTGCGGACTTTAGCCACAGTTGGAAAAAAAAAAAAAAAAAAAAAAAAAAAAAAAAAAAAAA